AAAAACCCCACCCTGCAAGAAAAAAAAACAAACCCACAAAAAGTCAATCTCACCAAACCACCAACAACAAAAAAAATCCAAATAAAAACAAATACTTGGAGAAAAGCAGACAAATACAGGGTTGGAAAAATCATTGCCTGGATTTCAGTGACAGCATCCTACAGTTGCAAATTTTCATTTTAGTCCTCTGCCTCTCCATTCAGCTTTATCACCTATGCTGGCCTCTTCTCAWACCCAGATAACGCAGTAAAACCAACCTTTTCTCCCTCCACCGTGCACAAGCACAGCAATTTCAAAAGCTYTGGACTTGCCTATGTCAATTTGTTCCAGACACCACAAAAAGTGTCCTCMCTGAGGACCATTCTCCTACCAGATATCAATTTTCAAGCCCCAATCTTCGGAACTGTTCTAGTAAACAGACATTTTTCAAACCGCACAAAAACCCATCTTGAACGCRAAAAATGACTGAAGTGGTTTGACTCAAACGCTACAGAAATTCAGCCTCAGATACCAAAGTAACAAAGGCTCATCTCCATAGGCCAAACTTGCAGAAAATTATAAGCAACTGAAAATGAGTGTTTCAAATGGAAGTGTTATGCAACGTGAATGACAGTGACCTGAAACGCCCAGAGCAGACTATTCCCCTCTCCAACATCCATCTATAGCAGCACAGGAAATGTTGGAGGCCTGAAAGAAACAGCCATTTCCAGCTTGGAGAAAGAACAGATACACAAAACCGCAGCACTTGACTGTCTTCTGGGTCCTYGCCTTACAGGAATATTTTTGGAAACGGGAGAAGTTTCAAAGAAGTGTYGTTTTTGACAGGAAGCCATAGAAGCAAAGCCTTGGACTCACCTCAGGCCGTAGAGSACGGTCCCGTCGGGATGGAGCCGAATCATGCGGTTCTTCACCGTCACCCCGTGCAGGAAGGACTTCTTGTCGTTCAGGAAATAGGTGTCTGGCAGCCAGAGCTGGTCAGCCACCCTGTTGTCCAGGGTCAGGTTGAGAGGGAGGTCRTTGTAGGCCAGGCGTTTGTCCCGCCAGCTCTGCTGGAAGTACATGGTGATGGTGTAATCCTGGGGGAGAAAGGGGCAAACGTCAGCCTGGGGTCACTGCAGCTCCACCCCTTTCCTTGGCACCCAAATGCTCCTGTCCACAGCTCCAACACTTGGGTTTTGGGGTTTTTTTTTTTGGTGGTTTTTTTTTGAGGGGTGTGTGTGCTGTGGTTTGTTCTGGGAAAATGTGAATAAGCCTGAGCTTACCAGGGGAAAAAAAACACATTATATGACTCCAACCAAGCAAAACTGCATCCCACTCCCGTTCTCCCAGCCTGCTGAGATCTTGCCTGCACAACCAGCGGTAGCTCAGGCTATCATGGCACTAAAAGGTGTCAACCAACAGTGGCTGCACAGCACCAGAGACTTCCAGGGCTGTTCTCTCACTAAAATCACATCAACACGACACAAGCACCATCCACCCGTGCCCAGGCACTGCTCGCCACCASGCAGTTGGCACAAACCAGTTCTGTTTGCAGCAAAGCTGAGGCTGTTGCAAAGGGCACAGGGAGGATCTCACCTYGAGGCCAAGGTTTCAAGGTCAGCCCAGGCCAGCCGTGAGAAGCTCTCGGCATTTGCCTCCTTACAGGAGATAAGTTGGGAATTCATTGTGGTTCTCAGGAAGGGACATATGGGGAGGAAATCTGTCAKCAGTGGAGCATGATCTGCTGGTAAAGGGGCAGTTCCCTGAAAAGATTCCCATAAATSTGGACATCAGGAGGAATTTCTTTATGGAAGGGGTTGCTAAACATGGAAAGGGGCTGCCCAGGAGGGTGTGGGTTCACCATGCCTGGAAGTGTTGAAGGAACGACTGGATGTGGCACTTCGTGGTTGAGAAGGTGGGGATTGGTCACAGGTKGRACTCGATCTTGGATATCTTTYCAGCCTCAGTGATTATGGGATTCCCAAACCATCCCCAGCCATACAGATCTGCTGCTCCTCTGCTGTCCARCAGTGAAAAGCTGACTCTGAAAACTGCTGCTGACACAAGAACTTTACAGAGGGCAGCGTGAGCTGCTCGGTGGCCACGGCTCTGCAGAAACCAAACCCATTGCTGGGCAGTAACAGCACGTCCAGGGGCCTCGGATCAGCCTGTTCAGAGGCACAGTGTGGTGCCACAYAATAGAAGAACAATTTCTTCTTCTCAGGTAAACAAGCAGTACAGGAAGGAGTCTTGCACACAGCAATGATGGGAAACATTCTCACAACGGGTCTTAAATAGCCTGGGASACAAGATTTTTGGGGTAATCCAGACAGCATTGAAATACTAGGATGTTGATTAGGAAGTGGGCACAAGTGTTGTTGACAGTGACCTTACAGAAGTCTGAGATTTTCCCCAAATCCTTAAACAGGAATTTAAATTTTGCAATTTTTTGCCAATGATCTAGAACAGGTGGGACCACAGACACATTGAGGTTTTTTTGCAAGCAGACACCTGCAGTGGCACAGGAATCCTCCTGACCACACGGATTTGCAGGATGARCCCTTCTGCTCTGCAAATCCCAGCTCTGTGCAAGGGGCTGGTGAGGAGCTTGCTCACGCACCAACATCTGGGCTGAGCACTGAGGCATCTGCCTGCCTGTCTTCTCCCACAGACTTCATTCAAAGCCAGGTTTGATTAACACCTCTGAAAACAAGCTCAAATAATCCCACATCACGGATAATGCCAGCTTTTGGGTATCTGACTATGATTCAGAAATCCAGACCCACATGCATACCCGAAAGGTCACAGAGTAAATCTGCAATGTGCACCAGATACAGAGCTGTATCTGCTGCTTTCTGTGCTRTCTGGAAAAGAACAAAAACACCCTGACAGCCTGCTGGCCAAGGAACTGGTTTGCTTTGCCTTTTAAAGGACTGTAACTCCTACCTCAGAAGCCTCACAGTCCATTTCTCAGAGGCACAAACATTCTTCTTTTGGTCAGGACCCTGTAAAGGAAATTCTTGTTCCCAGAACCCCTCTCAGGGTGCTTGGGGCTGTACTGCAGGGCCAGCACAGAGGAGCAGAACACCCAAACTCCTGAAGCCTCTTACCCCTGTAGGAACAGACTCATCCCCTGCCTGTGGCACCCTTGGTTACAGCAGCATCAGTTCTATCCCCTCCTTTGGGAACTCCTTCACTGACCTGCACTTGCCAGAGCCCTGCAACATCTCACCCCTAACCAGGCCACCCTGCTGGCACTGCAGGCTCCTGCCAGCCCTCAAGGAGCAGCAGGCAAGAGGTGACACTGATCTCCAGGAGGCAAAAAGGGCAAGCTGCTTCCAAAGTGAGCAACACATCTGCTAAACACAGCCTCCGTGTTCCCAGGGCTAATGGGAGCAAGCTCAGAGAGGTGCAGGAAGAAAAACCTACACCCATCAGTAGGGTGAGGTTCTTCAGGGGCAGAGACCTTCCTGGGGATGAACAGCCAGCCCAGAGCTCAGGCTGAGCTCTGTTCTCTGACCTTCCTGGGTTTCTTGGCACAGCAGATGTCTTTGGGCAGCACCGTGGAGGTGCTGAGTACTGCTGATCATGGTCCACCCAGTGCCTCAGGTTTCCCTCAGCCTCTCTCTCTGCTGATTGCTGTGCTCCACTTCTTGTTCTCCTGCTCTCATCATGCTGTTGAACTGCAGGCAGGATTTCTGGGCAGGATACGAGCAGGGCAGGTGTCCACCTCACAGAGGTCAGCCCTCCCTGGGAGGATGAGTGCCACCGACACAGGATGGGTACAGACCCAAACTGGGGAAGAGGAGTAGGACAGGCACACACCAGGGGCTGGAGGCAGCACTGATACAGACAGCGACAGGGACCAGSACYCTGGGCAGGAGAGGAAGCTGGGTGYTTGCCTTCCCCTTTCCACCCCCTATCCTGGTTAGCAGATATGAAACACCCGTGTGCCACCCTCACATCACATCCTGGCCAGGCTCCAGAGCTGCTGGGATCTTAATCACAGCCTTCCTTCCTTCCAGAGGCAYGTGCTCTGATGGCCGAGGGTGACAGCAGAAAGGCCAGATGGAGCCAAGGCATGCAGTGGTTCAGAGGTTCAGGAATCAGAAGCAACGAGCTGATTTTCCTCCAAGTCCTGGATGACGATGCCTTTGTTGTGGGGTTTTATCTGTCACTGGGCTAATGTGAGGCTTTCCCAAACCTCCCACTAATCCATGACACTCACAAGCCTGCTGATGCCACGGATAGAACACAGGCTGGGTTTCCCAGAGTCACCAGCTGACAGAATTGGCCAATTCACCAGGCTCAGTGAAGAACTTTGAATCCAAACACACCGGGAGCCCACTCACCCCTCCAGCTCACCACTGAGGCAATTTATGGGACAAACAGCTGGATTTCCCTGCTGCCTGTGCAAGGGACTAGTGAGGGGCTTTCCCTCTGCACACACACCCAGCAAGCAGAGCTCTCCCTGGTGCTCTGCATGAGCCACTGAGAGGTGCAGGAAGATCTGACTTTCCTCTTGCTCTAAGCTGGCAGCCCAGACCCTTTTCACACTGCACCAGGGCAGCTCCAACAGCAACAAAAATGCTTCCAAAGGATGGATCCCACGGGGTCTTTGTGGAGAACTATGAAATGCTGAGGCAGGGCCAGAGTCTGGCTGTGGCCATCCCTGCTGGGGCGAGGATGGGAGAGCTTTGCAGGGAGCTCTCAGCCCCTGCTGCACTGGGATGGAAGGCAGGGCCCCAGCCCACCTGTGCAACCTCCTGCTTTATCTGGTGCCTGCTGGGGCGGGACACATGAGGCTGGAAACCCAAAACCCTGTGCAGGTTGCACTGCACTTTGGACACTGTTCAGCATGAGCCTGGAATTCAGTTTTTAAAAAGCAAAGGCTGGGACAAGGCAAAGGAGGCTTTTGCAGGGTGGATATGAGCAGAAATTACATGCCTCCACTTGTCCCTTTTTCCACCCTAAGGAAAAGCAAGCTTTGCAAAGATCCCTGCAAATTCTCCCCAGCTGGGCTGTGCTGCTGGAGCTCAGCTGGTCAGCCTGCCCCTGCCCTGCCAGCATCCCACGGTGGGAGGCTGAAATGCCACAACCAACAGCGCTGGCCAGGGGAAAGCTGTTCCAGCCCTGCTGAGGCTCGCTGACCTACAGATCACACACCCCAATGTTTCAAGAGAAGCTTTTCTCTTGTCCTGCCTCTCTGCCAGCCCAGCAGCTGCCAGATCCCTTGGTTTATCCCAGAACCCTGTACCCAGCAGCTCCCGAGCTGCCCAGCTCCAGCRCTGCTCCCAGCCCTTCAATTCCCCGCAGCGGCATCCCGGAGCCGCCCTCCCGTCCCAGTGTGTGCGGGATGGCTCTGGGCACCTCCCGGGGCTCGGAGGGCACCTGAGCCCGCTGGAGAG